GATGAAATTTGGACGGTGATGAGGGTAGACGAAATCACTATTCATTTTCACCTATAGGCCTTGGAAAGACTTTTTGTATATATATATATATATATATAAGCTGGCGTAGTCCCACAAGCCTACAACTACTTATGAGCCCAACAATCTGGGTCGATTTGACGGTCACAACTCCATTTCATATTTAATTTTATTTTATTAAAAAAATCTAAATCACCTGAAAAATTAGGCATCTATTCTTATCATCAAGGCATATCTAATAAAAATATCAAAAAAATAATTTACAAAATATAAATTGATCAAAATACCCCAGAAAATTAGATTCTCCTAATTTTAAAAAACACATGATCAAAATTTAAAGTGATTTGGATTTATAGAAAAAAGTTAAACTTCAAATACGAAATGCAATCGTATTGTTGGATCGGCCCAGATTGAATCTGGACCATTAGGCTTATATATAGTTTTTTTTTTTTTTTTTTCAAATGTTAATACTTTTATTGAATACTAAGAAAAGGAAATTACATCATTAAAAATGACAAGAGTAGGTAAAGAAGAATCACCCTTAGCTAGGGCATCAGCCAGAGTTTGCTTCTCGATAAATATGAGAGAAGGAGACCGACAAAGGGGAACAAGATCTAAACTCTGCAACTATAAAGGCTGGAGTTCCCATAGTACGTATTGCTCCTTGTTACACCACTTGAAAACATTCAGGGAGTCACCTTCAATCCAACATTTGTTACCACAATTCCTTGCAATAAAAATTTTCAAAGCTTCAAGGAACGCGCTGAGCTTCGAAAAATTTGCAGTTGCAACACCTATAGGTCCAGCATAGAAAACATGGTGTTACCCAAACAATCACGCACCACTCCTCCAATTCTGGCTAAACCAAGATTGCCAAAAGAACTACTGTCAAAGTTGAGTTTCAAGGTATCTGCTGGAGGCACAATTTAGATATTTCTCGGTCTATTACTAACACAACCAAGACGAAAAAGGTTGTGTAAGTTTGCCATAACATCCACTTTAGAGATACCACATCCTTTTTTTAAAACAGATAGCCATGATCAGACTGAAAATTTGATAGCATGAATTAGTAGATCAAAAGCCATAGAAGTCCCCTCAAAGGACCTTCTATTTCTTTTTTTCCAAACCTCCCATAGGATTATGCCTTTAGCAATCTTCCAGATAATCCTGCCCACGTTAGATAAATGAGGAAGGAAAAATTGGGAAACTAACCCCTCCACCGATTAAGTAAATGCTAAATTAATACCTAGAACACCAAACAGCCAGTGCCAAATTCTCATCGTAAAAAAGCAGTGGATAAAAAGATGTGCACCAAATTCACCATCAGCTTTGCATAGAAAGCACACATTAGGCTCATACATAGTTGTAGGGAAAAAAACTAATGATTCACACCAATGCCTCTCTCTCTCTCACTCCATGTCCACATGTTAATTCCTCCACAATGGCTCAGCTCACCTGACGCAAATACCCTACCTTAGGTATTTATAAACTTAATCTAAAGAGAACTCACGAAGACAAATTGCCCATAGAATAAAATAAAAATATCACCCTTTCCCAACTTTCCAAAAGCTCTAACAAAGGGTAGTCCCACGTCCTTAGGACATAAGAGGACTAAGATGTATCCCAACATCACTACTAATTTTGATCATATTAGAATTCTCAGATATTTAAGACCCCCAATCCTGAGGGGAGTGATCTTCAACACTCCTCCTCAGCACTGACTCTCTATTCATGAAGAAAAGTTATCCTGTACAATCACAGCTCGTCACACTTGTCTGTAGCATCTTCCATGATCATGTTTACCTTTGACATCACATGCAATAGATTGAAGCTCCATTGGACCACAAATATTGGAGTGTGGACCACCTCCAATGGCACCTTTGAAAAAGACTGAAGTAAACAGTTGCTTTCATGGTTGTCCATACTAACAGCCTGCACAGACTGTTTGATGTTGATCTTCTAGTTGCGGGAGACCCCTCACGAACTATTTCTTTGCCATGATATGCAACTTATCAGTTGCGACATTAGCAAGGCAAGCATGCCATAAATCCGGCACATAGTTCCTCCGTGTTTTATCGACATATACAGTCCCTGCAGATTGAATATGCACCTCCTCCACTCAACACTAATGCATGATCGGATCTCCCTCAACCTTAACCTTCTCAAACACTTTCGACTTAATCTGGTCCAAACAACACACTCAGTGTCCAGCAGCAGTAATATGTGAAATTGACACCAAATTCTTTGCCCTACATAAAACATGAAACATGTCTTCTAGGATAGTCTCTCCACTATAACTCCAACGAGTACCACACATATTACCCACATTCTTAATCGGATGCACTGAATTATCCGCCGTCACTGCTTTAAGAGTGTGGGAGAGATTTTAGGACAGATGTGTAGGTCGGATGTGAGAGATGCACTTGAACAATGATCACTTAAGAGGGATAAATAATCGTTAATAAAAATGTACGTTTATTAATGAGTCTTGTGCATGTTTTTTAGGATATGCTTTTATTATTATTATTATTATTGCTATATATTAATGAGATCTGCATCAAAAGAATTGTGTTTTCGAAGGAGGTGAGGTAATTGCTTCATAAATAGCTGCAAGAGATATAGAATATACGTGGGATGTAGCTTTCTATTTGTACGATAGGGTGCATGATAAATTTTATATTTATGGAGAGGTAATTGCTTCATAAATAGCTTTGAGAGAGAGAGTATGGATAAATGATGGTAAACAAAAATACAATAATAAGGATAAAATTGGAAACAAAAATGATAGAGAGAGAGAGAGAAATAGTATGGATAAATGATGGTAAACAAAAATACAATAATAAGGATAAAATTGGAAACAAAAATGATAGAGGAGAGAGAGAGAGAAAGAGTTTGGATAAATGATGGTAAACAAAAATACAATAATAAGGATAAAATTGGAAACAAAAATAGATAGAGGAGAGAGAGAGAGAGAGAAAGAGTTTGTTGAGAGAGAGTAAACGTGGGAGAGGCCTTTGAGAGAGTAAATGTTCTTGACCACTTGAGAGAGAGAGTAAATGTGAGTAAATGTTGTTGAGTACCTGAGAGACAGAGGGCGAATCTATTGAGAGAGAGCGAATAATAAAAAAAATATGTCTTTTAAAAAAAATCAAAATAAAATGTCTAAATTCGAATGATAAATATTTGAAATGATAGAAATGGAAGACAAAAAAGACACTTGGTGTAAGAATAAAAGCTTTCCTCTAAAGCGACACAAAATTATTAAGGGGGATTCTTCAAATATAATTGCATGGAGTATGGGAGAAGCCTTGCCTCCTTGGAAACTTCGGCCCATTTAAGATGAGTTTAGAGATTTGTTAGCCTTTCTTTCGGCTGAGATTTGTCATTGTTTTCGAGAGGCAAACATGGAGGCATATTTACTTGCCAAAGCGGTGTTCATTAACAATCATTGGTGGTCACCAACTTTGTTTAGTGCATCCCGCCTTCTACTCTATACTTTTTTTCTATATTCTCTTTGTCTTAAATAAAAACACATAACTTTTTTTATTATATATATATATAGAGAGAGAGAGAGGGCATGGTAAGTAAACAATCAAATTTAGAGCTTATCTTCAAATAGTGTCGAGAAATATGGTTTCGCTGCTGAAATTTTTTGTGATGGCTATAAAATATATTTTCATCTTTATTTATAAAGTTTAAAGTTTCAAAAATAATGTAAACTGACAGATCTATTAAAACTTGAAAATTGACGGTCCAAAAATGCGTCATAAAATACACTTTTTCCAAATCTTCAAATCCATTTTTTTCTCATGTCGTTACATCTTGATGTCAAGATGATCAATTTGATGATATTTGGGCATCAAAATGACCACTTCTAGTGAAATTTTTGTGTTAGGCTCCAATTTGATTGTTTAGAGCCTCGGCTCTATATAAACTTTACTCATATATATATATATATATATATATATATATATATATAGTA